AATTATCTTGCATGTAGTACCAAACAGTTGCTGGTCAAAATGCTTGCCGGACCTGGAAATCAGCAGCCTAGTTGCACTTCCATCTTCTCATGCTCCCATCAGTACCCTGTGTTTGCCAAAAATCCTGATAGAGCAAAGTCATTGAAACCTGGTCATGTCAGAGCATGAAAAAGGACCTAGCAGATTAGGAATCAGGTGCCACACACCTACATTTCAAAAGGCCATAGTCACCCTTTGTATGAAAAGAAAAAACTTTCTGTGTTTCCAAGTAATGGTGTTTGAAAGGTTTATTCATACTTCACCAAGGAAAAGAATCCTTGCCTATAGGTATGCAGAGATTTCTCTTAAAATTTTTCTGTACCACTTGTTTCAAATAGTTAAGTATTTTCAGAAGTGTCCTTAGTTTAAATTTGTAAAATACCAGCAGCTGCTGATGATGAATGTTGAAGAACTTTTGAATGAAGTTCAAAGCATCAGAACTAAGCTAAGTATCAATAGCCAGATTTTAATATCACTAATGACTTTGTGGTTAAAGTATGAGAAATGCCTGCTTCTGGTAGGATGTAAAATAACTGCTGTGACTCTTCATAGTCTTCAGTTTTTATTCTCACTTTTTGAAAAATACCAAGCACCTTGGCATTTTATAGATTCACTAATTAGTTCTATATTTGTTTGAAGTTCTTCATTGTAAAACTTGCTATGAAAAGACATTTGAATGTGTTTTGGGAAACTTTGTTTATACATTTACTTTCCTGCCTTTATCTTTTTTGTTTACTGTTTTAAGAGGAAGGGCACACTTGGAGAACAATACCATTTAAATTTTATGAAATGAAGAGTGAAAATATATTTGTATATCTTTTCTTGTATACGGAGATGTTTTCATTGTTTGAAGCCAAAAGCTTGCCATCGTGTAATTGAGACAGGGGAATGCTATTAAAAGCATGAGAATAAAACTCTTACGCCAATAAGGAGATACTTACACAGATTATTTTACATGTTTGTTTCATTTAGCCTGTGATGTGAGCAAACACAAAACAAATATGATAAAATACATTATATTTAGAGCTAATCTGACTGGATTGGTATGAAAATACTTTAACAGACTTTTAATCCTTAGAATTAACACACAGTTTTTCATCATGTAACTTCAGAATAAATAATTTAGGATAGAATTTGGATCTCGTGTGTTTAAACTGCTGGAAGAGAAGGGAAAAAAGTCAAGGTGGCATCACTAATGTAATGCAACTTCTTCTGTTCTTGATCCAGTCTCTGAAGCAATGATTAGGCATGTTGGCAAAGCAGTAGAAAACCTGTGGAATTGTTCTAACTATGTGTAACTGCAGAAATTACCTTTAAAAATAGCTTTAAGACAATTCACTTTATATTGACTGTGATATGGGATTGCAGTCTGACAGATTTCTATTACAAGTTTTTTTCAGAAATTCCTTATCTGTTCATAATGTCATTAACACCTGTGTAAAATTTTTGCATTGCTGGAGTGGTCAGATATAAATTTAAGATAAAGTTTTCCAGAGAAATGCATCAGGGATTAGTATATTAGTTTCCCCTTTTTCATTAAAAATCATTAGATTGATCCTGGAGATTGAGAAAACCTCTTTAATTTCTACATTGATTTGGAGTTGTATTGCTTCTGTCTTGGAGGGGTTGGAGACCCAAGTAAGTGAGAATTCTCATCCCTTCTACGTTTTCTTTTTACTGACTTTAGAAGATTATTGGTCATTTATTCCCTCTTTTTCATTTGAAAGTCTCCGGCAATCAAGAAAGTGACTTGGATCTCTAGGAAATTATTTGGAACTGGGACATCGTGTCATTTCTTCCAGAATATTTCATAAATTTGATATAACTGAGGCACCTGCAGTAGCTTTGAAATAACTGGCTCCATTAGCAGCAGTAGTAAATGTATATTTGAGCATATTTGGACTCAGAGTTTTGAAGAAAAAGCAATGTTAAGTTGTACTGTATGTTGATATTTTTTTCATGACCTCTTCTCATCCAAAAAAACCCTGGAACAAACTGAACATTGGCTGGCAGGCAGCATTTTCTGACAACAAACTATGTGAGGTATATAAGAATGATATCCATGCCAGGTAGTTTTTATATCTGGCTTTAAAAATAAGGTGTTTAGGTGTTAAAAGTTGAGGAACAAATGAATAACTTTTTTTCTGTGGCATACAGAATTTCCTGAACAGTAGACTGTTCTGAAGTGACTTTGTGTGGTACGTGTGTTGGGGAGAAAAGTAAGACATGTTGCGTCATTTTCTGCAAACCCAAAATATATATATGCACAGGTGTTTGAGTCATGCCTCACAGCAGGTTGAAGTTGTGCTTATCTGTTGATTGATGAGCCTACTGTGTTGTGACCTAGAAACTGGGGAGGGTACTTATCTGTGGTGAGGGGAGGGAGAGAGTAAAGACAATGTTTTATATTGTAGATGAAGGCCAGCAAACAGTTGAAGAAGAAGAAACATTTTTGAAGACCATATCCAATGTCAACAATACCTTGGAGTGTGCATGTTCGTCTGTCAGGAGGATTAACAATGAATTTTAAGTTTTTCATCAAAAAGCTATTCTTGCAGAGTTCTGGATGGCTCTGTCATGCATAGCTATCATCACTCTTTAAAAAAAAAAAAAATTGTTGAAGATAGCTACTTCACAGGCTTGGGGAATTTATTCAAGCAGCTACCTATGACTGCCTGGCTTTGTTCTTCAGAAAAATAATTATTTCAGTTAAAATAGTTGCATAAAATATTTTGAAACTTGTGTGGAAAAAAAACCCCAACCCAACACTAAAATTTCTCTAAGTGTGAAATGTTGGGGTTTACTTCACAAGGGAATTGTGGCATTCTGAGACTCGTAAGAGCTGCAAGACATTTTAGCTGGCTTTGTAGGCAGGAAGTTCTAAAAGTGAACAGATGCCCACATTTTGGTCTAGTGCAAGTTTAATTTACTCTAAATCATATTTCAAATTCTAGTTGATAAAACAATTCTTAACAGCAATTATTTGGGAAATATAACTTTATGATTTGTTTATATTTAGAGCTAAATCTAAGTATTATGAGATCTTGAGATGATTTATGTCATGTAATATATTCAACAAAGACAAACCAGTGGCTTTTATTTTAAAATGTTAGTCTCATGATTCCATTGTAGAATAACAATGCGATTGTACTACAGTTTATAAGAACAAATTAGATATGTGGAAGAATTGTTTTAATCTTTGGTTTTTTTCAATGGGTACAATAGGAAGAACTATCTATGATGGTGTGGCAAGGAAAGGGAAAAGGAAAAGATTTATACAAACTGTCATAAAACTTTCGGACTAAAAATGAGAATATTTTCTGATGGAGATTATAGAATGCTATGGCTTACAACATTGAGATACTGGTTCAGTGGGCTGAATAGAAAATTTCTACTGTTTCCTAAAGTCAGTGGATTTTGTATTCATATGTGGGTTAAAAGCTTTATTCTGCCATTATTATACTGTTAGAGTAATACTGTCAAAATAAAATGTTGCATTTTGGGAGTCGAAATATACCCTGTAAATCTCTTATTTGCTGATGATACTAACAATGACAGGCAAAATGGAATTCAATGTGTTAGACTTATGAAGAAGAGAATGAAGAACAGCTATTCTAGGATTAAACAGGGTGATACTGCTGAAGTCTTTACATAATCATGGTCTTGCATAACCAAATGCATATTTTTTTTTTAATGAGTAATCTGATTAATAGGGTGAAAAATGCATGCCAAAATCAATAGAAAAAAATAATTCTAGCACTTGGAATTTGTCTGTTATATGTGTATTTTTTGGCTGTGTTAAGGTGTTTTTTACCTGTGATGTGTGCCAAGAATCTGTAGACATGATCTCTGGTGTCTGCATGAGAACTTGGGTTTGGAAATCTTGAATTACTGTTACTTAGATAATAAAGTCTCACTCTAAAAAAACCTTAGTCTGAATTTATGATGACAAAATTGAGGTTCTGTCAAGAAATGTTTTTCCTTCCTGGAAATATTTCAGTTTTCTAATCTGAACATTGGTATCAGAGAGTCAAGTATGTGGAAACTATTTCTGCAACTATCAGGAGATTTTTAAAAGGCAAGCAGCAGTATGGATACTTTGCACATGAGGGCTGGATCTTTGCACATGAGGGATCACTCCAAGCAAACCCCAGTTTAGTGCAGTAGAAACTATGCATACGCAGTATGGTATAATACCTTTCAAGAAGAGTAGGTTTTAGTATGCTTTTGAAACAAAGAAATTTACATTTGCCTTTCAGGTGCAAGCCTATTTTTCCATGTCCCTTAAAGAATGAAGAATAAGGATAATCAATTGAGATAAACAATAATTCATAATTTTTAACTTGTTCTAAGCATGCATCTTACTAATGTGAATGCCTCCTTTTTTGCCAACCCAGCCATAAAATCAGTGAATGACAACCTTAGTCTAGTTCTCATATTATTGTTTGCACTGTGTATTATGTCAACAAAAGCTGATTGTAGAAAAGGGAGAGAAAATCGCTTTCATTTCAGATAAACTATTGGTTTAGAGGAAATAAAGTCTTATGTTGAAAGTGTGTTGGATAATACCCTTTGGCTAAGAAAAGTGCCTATTACTGAAAAGAAATCTCACAAGGCAGAAAATGCACTTAATTTAGCTTGGAAAGTTGAACTAAGCCTTTCAGTTTCATATTTGTGCTTTATTCACTGTAGCATGGCTGCACATGCTTTCTAAAGGGAATACTGTGAAGGGATTAAAACTTTCTCTTGGTGAAAACATTTTTCTTTCTTATGTAACACAAATGGGGTATAAAATGATCAAGCTTTAAAAGTGGACAATCCTATTTTTTTTTTTTTCTGGTAGGGGGAGGTGGTGTTGGGAGTGGTGGGTTGGGTTGTTTGGTTTTTTTTTTTTTTTTGAGCGCAAGATACACACCAAGTATTTATAGGAAAATGTCCCTTTCTTTCCTTTCAAATTTCAGACATGGGACACAGAGCTTGAGAGATCTGCAGAGTCGTGGGCTGAAACCTGTCTATGGGAGCATGGGCCAGCAAGCCTTCTTCCATCAATTGGACAGAATTTGGGGGCACACTGGGGAAGGTAGTTTAAAATACTGTTTTATACTATATATATGTTTAGTTTCTATTAATCTAACAAAATTTGCCTATTACTTAAAGGAAGAATGATACAATCTACAACTTTTGGATGATCTAATAGACTACTACTTGTTTTTATAGGTACAGACCTCCAACATTTCATGTCCAAGCATGGTATGACGAAGTGAGAGATTTCACATATCCCCATCCTCATGAATGCAACCCGTATTGTCCTTACAAATGCTCTGGTCCTGTTTGTACACATTACACACAGGTATGTAGGTGGGTTTGGTTTTTCAAAAAGAGTGGTCAAGACCTCCAGTTAGGTTGCTGTATGACATGTAGGACATATTAATCTTGCAGTATATACCATAACACTGAAGTACAAAAGGGGCTTGTCGTTATCAGACTCCATAGTTACAATCATTGGGTATTGGTGACGTAGAGTAGGGCTGTCATACGAATCTTTAGATTTCATCCTCATAAATATCACTTCTTCAACAGGATTAAGGGAAAAACTCACAAACCCTAGTGTTAAACTGAGTGTTACTGCTCAGTGCACTTTGCATAATCCAGTCTCTCTCCTGGTATGCTCGTAGTCCTTTCTGTCATATGCTGGAGAAACTGCACACTTAAGAAAATTCCCCACCCCCACCCCTTTTTGGTTTTTTTTAGGTGAATTCCTCAGCTCAAAAAGCAGTTTTTAACATATTGCTTTAACTTCAGCAAGATTTTGAAATTGCATAAGAACTAATTTATTTTGTACTTCTGAAATCTGTGTATCTAGCCCAGGTTTTTCCAGGGGGGAATCAGTCATGTTTTCAGTGAATAGGAAATACATGATCCTCTGACTATACTAAAATCCACATATAATTTTGAATGTAACATTAGAAAAGTTCAAAATGATTCATTTGTAAACATGTATTTTTTCTTTACTAGTACAATTTACAATTGAACCTAATTTTAAGACAGAATTACCTCCATGTTCTTACATTTCTGAAACAATACCTGTTATTATACTTATCCAATTGCATGCGTGATCTAGAATACATATCTATACTTTGTGGTACTAGTTCTTCCCAATACCTATGTCTTGTAAGTCCTAAATCCTGCTAGAACTACATGGTTGGTTTATCTTGTATTAAATACAAGTTTAGCACCTGTCGTATTTGTCTAATTGAACATTCCAGCCTTTGTCATTTAGATTATTTTGAGATCTGCAATGAAAATTGTTTCAACAGATGAATAAAGAAGCACAAGCCACCTTAGACTGTTATGACATGAAAGCATATTCAGTTAAAAATCCATGATTTGAGTTTTTTTTGTCTGAGTTTTTTTGTGAATAGTTTTATCATTAATGTTACCTTCTTTCACTGGTAACAAATAAATATCTGTTCTCTCAGTCTAACCAATCTAAACCTCTCTGGGTCCTTAGGTGGTGCTGAGAACTCCAGGGCACAGGAACCTAATTTCTTCTAACTCACAATTATCTCTTAATTGTAATTCCATGAAACAATTCTTTGGATCATGTTTTGTAAATATTTTGCTACACTTTCAAATACATGCTTAGACCATTTATATAAAATGAGAGCGATATCTTTTTCTATCGAAGTAAAACTGTTCTTTGTAAAAAGGTTGTAACCAATTGGCTTTTTGACAGTTGTAATTAGGTCACTTCAACCAATTTATAACAGAGGGGAATATAACATCACTTTGAGTTTCATACATTGAGGTTTGGAGACAATTTTGATTTTAATCAGCTTTGGTTTCACATGTCTTTCTCTTTCCTTTTCCATAGGTCGTTTGGGCTACAAGTAGCAGAATTGGTTGTGCCATTAATTTGTGTCATAACATGAACATCTGGGGGCAGATTTGGCCAAAAGCAGTCTATCTTGTATGCAATTATTCTCCTAAGTAAGTAGGCTGACACCCAAAAATATCTTGAATGGGCAAGATATTTTATAATCATCCAGGAAATAATTTGAAAGGAAATCACTCTGTTTTTTCTGGGTTTTTTTTGTACTGTTACAAAGTTAAGCATTGTTCCCAAGGCAGCCTTTGGCTGCACAAATTCTCACGTGATTTTTCTAGAGCTTCAGTTTTCAGGCCTTTGTTATAACATACAACATCACAGAACTTTTGTTCCAGTATGATATTTGTCTGAAAAAGAAATGTATCTCCGCATTGTGACTTTAAGGAATATGTAACATGAAGCCCGTAGTTAGGATCAAATTCTGTAGTATATACCATTTAGGAGCAGAGCCTGTTCTCATGTAATTGAGGAATTTAGTCTTAGTTTTATGCCAAACTCAAAAGATTTTACAGCAGTAATCCATTTTTTTTCTTCATGGACTTCTCAATTCCTTCCTGTGCATTTGGTATAGAACTGTAGAATCATAGAATCATTTACATTGGAAAAGACCTTTACAATCATCAAGTCCAACCATTAACCTTACACTGCCAAGTCCACCACTAAACCATGTCCCTGAGCATCATGTCATTTAAAAACCTCCAGTGGTGGTGACTCCACCGTTTCCCTGGGCAGTGGTGTTCCAATGATTGACAGCCTTTTTGGTGAAAAACTTTTCCTGATACCCAATCTAAACCACCCCCAGCACAACCTAAGGCCGTTTCTTCTCATCCTATCACTTGTTACTTGAGAATACCAAAATTTTGTTATAGTCTAAGTGTCTGTTGGTTTTCATAATTTACTTGTCCACATATTAGATGTTCTTTAATGTTAATATGTTCATTTAATAAGGAATGTTTTGCTAATTTTCCTTTTTTTTTTTTTTTGGTGTAAAGGGGTAACTGGTGGGGTCATGCTCCTTATAAACCTGGCCGCCCTTGTTCTGCATGTCCCCCTAGTTTTGGAGGAGGCTGCAGAGAAAATCTTTGTTACAGAGGTATGTACTATTTCAACAGTAAACTATAAATGGGAAGAGGAATGTAATTTCTTTTGTTTTCCCTCTTCGTTATGCTTTAACATAGTGGAATAGAATATGTTATGCATGTACCCAAAGACCTAGTAGGGGCCTACTTTACTGTCGTGAATGAGGTCATATCATTATGATACCTGAGGTCAAGCCTCACCGGAAGGAGTGGGGTGTACTGAGCTCCCACTGATTTAAGTGCCAAGGGAGGGCTTTTACTACACAAAGATGTAGAGTGTTGCTGTCTGCTCTTTGTATGCCTTTTTGTAATTACAGTGGAAGTCTATGCAATCATTTGTTTATAGGGAAATGTTACCTCAGTGACACAGCCATGTACATTACTATAAGAAAAATGAAGAACAAGACTAGAAGACATTAGTTATTAAACAGGATGTCAGCTACGATGATTATTAACTTCTTACAATTTTTGTCATGCTATTCATATTTTATAGCATTGAAACCCAGCATATTATGAAGCTGCTATTTCTTTTTGTTTTACTCTGGTGTACAAGTAAATTAGCAATTTTTGTTAATAAATTTTGAAAGTTTACTTGGACCATAAAAGCTGCACGATTGTGCCCAAACACCTTCCTTATGTTTCTTGCTTAGTAAGAAATGTAGTTTCAGTGATGAGCATTTCAAAATTATTTTTATTATGTATGAATAAAAGAGCCTTATTTTTGAGGCCCTCTTGTTTTTGTGAAATCAACATCTTCCATACTTATCTGTGAACTTGGTAAAACTCTTCCAATGTATAATAGAAATATCATCTTCGTTCCATTGGTTTTCCAATGGCGTAAAGATACTAAACCAGGAGTTTTAAGAGACTTTTCGTACCTCACTTGTGCTGCTTATGTTAGAAAAAAATTGGCCTTTTGTCAGCATCAGAAATATAGATGTATTACTAATCTTGAGATCTTCATCTTATGAAGCAATGGAAAGTTTTCCTTGCCTTCTTGCTTGTGTTCATCCACCATTTTATGAGAACATAACCATGTTACCAAAATATGGTAAGGGATTTACATTCCACAAACACTGATATTTTTCTCCTGAGATTTTGGTTTCCCCCCCTGTTTTCTGAAACAGAGGATTCAGAAAGGCCTTATTCTCCCCATGAACCAGAAGAGGAAACCAATGAGATTGAACGGCAGCGATCCAAAGCCCAGGATGGAACGGCACAAGCCCGTCCAAGAACTCATTCACCTTTGGGCTCCACAGGCATTGATGACAGTGAGAAAAATGAAGTAATAAGCACACAGCAAATGTGTAAGGAATTTACCTGATTTGCAAGTGGTCAACAAATTTGAAATTATATAGTATCAAATTCATTGCAGTGAAATTGCTTTTTGCTTGTTTTAGCTCAGATTGTTTCATGTGAAGTAAGGCTAAGAGATCAGTGCAAAGGAACAACTTGCAATAGGTATGGTGAATTTTACAGTTCTCATTCTGAGATTATTCTGAAAGACTATATTTGTATGTGAGCTGGAATATTTTCCTTTTGGTAATCCCAGGATTTAAGACCAAGTTGTATTTTATTTTCTTAGGTATGAATGTCCTGCTGGCTGTTTGGATAGCAAAGCCAAAGTTATTGGAAGTGTACATTATGAAATGGTAAATATTTTTAAATTAGATTTTGTTCCAGTAGAATGTTTAATGAAATTTCTTTTCTGTTGGAATACTAGTCAAAAGCATATTAAGAATGGATTTTGAAGAAATCAATATTCACCAAAAATAAAAGCCTACACCAAATGTTTAAGATAGCATCAGACAATCTAAGTTTGCATTAGCTATTCTGCATGTACTGTCTGAATGTAATTCATACTTCTTAAACATGCACAGAAATAGAGCTTTTGTCTCCTCATATTTGCATGTAAATATGTGAAGGTGTGACTTTAGGAGAAATACAGTGATCTGTGGGTACACTCAGAAATGGTTTCAAAAGGTAGGCATCCTTATGTAAGCTAGCTGAAAATACATAATTTACTCTCTAGCACTGACAAACAGTGTAGGAAATAGCAGCTACTGTAAACAAGAATATGGTAAATTTATATAGTTTCTCTGAGTAAGGTAAAGTGGTGTTTTCTTCATTCGAAATAATACCTATATAGACCACATCAACTTGATATACCACCATGTTTTTAATGACACATTGTAATCAGAATCTGGGGGTTTTCGTAATGTAAAATACTGGCTTTTTCTGATATGGAACTGCTTTTCCTGCTCTGTTTTTCAGCAATCCAGTATTTGTAAAGCTGCCATACATTATGGCATTCTAGACAATGAAGGTGGTTGGGTTGATGTCACTAGACAAGGGAGGAAAAATTACTTTATCAAGTCTTACAGAAATGGCATTCAGTCAATTGGGTAAGTTGTGTTAAAATCAAAATGTATGGAAAGTTTTTCACCTGTTTCTTTTTATTTCATACCAATTATATCATGGTAAATACCTGTTGTTCATACTTTTTTATGATAAAGAATGTGAAAATGATAAAAATGGCATGTCTGTATATGGGTGTTGTATCCATTTTGGAACTTTAGACAGTGTTTAATGGTGTACAGAAATGTGATTCAATAATGATGTGAAAGAAGGTGAAGTCATTTACAAAATCACTTGGGCACTAAGTTAGTATTTGTAGTTAAATAATCTCAATATTCAGAGTATTCAATTAATTAAATTGTAACTGTATATATTTATTGTGGAAAACATAAACTGGCACTGAAGTCAGTTGCTTTACATTTTGTGCACAAAGCTGGTAATATTTCCAGGGTTGGACCATCAACACAGAAATCTATGACCGCTAACAAGGCAACACTCTTACGGGTTTGTGTTTGCAAACGGCAGTCCTGTACTGTGCATATGAAAAACATTAATCACGTAGAAAATACCCCTCTTCCTATATGTTTGATAGTTTCATCACAATTCCACAGTTTATATGTGGTATTTTGCACCAATATTTCGCACAACTTCTGCCTTGGTCAGTGATGGAATAATATTGGATACTGTAGAAGCTTCATTTGGAGGTGTACTACACTGTCCAGGTGCTTGCCCTAAGACTGGTATGTGAAAACAAATCCAAATACTTGGTGACATGATAAAAGAAAAAAACCCAGAAAAACAGTGCATGAAAGTAGAGAATACTTGGCTGTTTCCTTATAATATAACAAACTGAAAGAAAACAGAATTTTGCTCAGTGATACATTTGGCTCAGGTGTGAACCCAACGGTAAGGAGATAACAGAGCCTCTAGGGATTACCTCTCATTCTGGTGTGTGCAAACGAATGCCACATGCTATGACACATGTCACAATTTCTCTTTTCAATAGATTTACCTAATCCAGGATAGAAACACTGACTACGTAGAATAAATTCGGTGGCCTGTATTTTGGGCTACCTGGGTAGCATTTAAGGCATTGATAGCATTCTATTTCTTGGGGTCATCCAATAATCTGAATGTAGTTTAAGTTACCCTCCCTAAAAATGAAGTTACAAAAAAAATCTCTTTTTTTAAATGTTTAAAGACAAAGAATTAAATCTTGATATACCAATACTAACATATTAGGAGTCGGTTTCTTACAAATGTAGGACCAGTGTCTAGATGGAGCTTTGCCTAAACTACACATCTATTCAGTGAACAGATGAAATGAAATGCATCTTGCCTCTAGTGCAAACTGCAAAACAGAAAGGCAGAAAAGAGAATGTCAGTGCAACATACAGCAAAATTCCTAAACTTCAGCTTACTTAATTTATAATCAGGATTGCTAATACAGATGTTTTTTCAACTGTTGCATTTTTTTAATATAGGGTACCATTTCTAACAATATCTGAACCAACTAATCAACAACAGAATACAGTGAACTATTCCCACGTCAGTGTTTGACAATGCTAAGACAGCAAAAGTATGAGCTAACTCAGTGAAAGGAAATTGGAATCCAATAAATGAGCAAATGTGAAATTGGTTGGTCACACAACTAAACAAACCAATACAAGCAGTTTCTGAATAGAAACTGCAGTGGTGTAGAGCACGCAGGCGTAATTTGCTCCAAAGCTGAGTAGGGAATCATTTCCTTGTGTGGTTTTTTTTGTTTGGTGGTGGTGGTTGTTGTTGTTTAAATAATAAATAATTTTGAGTGCTAAAAGCATCATCAGCTCATTACAGATGAAAAATATTAGAATCAGAGGCACATCCAATGAGGTAAAAGCAGAGGAAAATAGGAGATAAATAGAAATAAAATAGAACTGTTCATCAATTGTAATGTTAAAACAGAATGTACATATCTTTATATAACATCAGTAAACAGATACTGTTTATAAAATATAAACACCATATAATTGCTGAGAAAAACAGTCTGTTACATGTTAGACTGGATTTTTAGTGATACTGGTAATAACTTAATGTAGACATATGATCCAAAAATAAAATTTAATGAAACCTTTGAAAAGGGCTGCCCGGAGAAAATCTTTTCACTCTTGGAGCTGTTTGTAGGACCCCCCTCCCTCTTTAGGGGGAAGTGAATGATCACTTCTGGTGCATGGATTGTTTTGAGCAACCACAGATTTTGGTTGCTGCATTTTAAGGGACAGATAGGTTGCATAATTTTTTCCTAGCACACTTAATCTCTTAGAAAATTAAATTACTGAAAGAGTTTAACATGCATTCCTGGCTTTTAAAGAGATTCACTGGGAGTAAAAAGTAAATGTGTCATTGCAATACATAGATTCACAACTGGGGAGAGGGTGTGCAGTGAGTGAAAATTGATTGGGGACGATGTCTGGAGTTATTTCTAGATTCTCTAATGAAAATTCATCTAGCTAAAAGAAATCACCACGATATGTTATTTACTGACTATTTCTATGATTTCTTCTTCAGAAAATACCAGTCTGCTAACTCCTTCACTGTCTCTAAAGTAACAGGTTAGCATTTATTTCTTGTAAACTCAAGGTACTGAGTTATGACTTTTTCTAAATAGCACATATTTATTTGTTTCTGTTTTACTTTTCTTCAGTTCAAGCGATCACCTGTGAAACGACAGTGGAACAGCTGTGCCCATTTCAAAAACCAGCCTCACACTGTCCGAGGTAGAATTTTTTTCAGTTTTATTGATTAAGTGCTGCCATATTTTCTGTCAGTTAGGAATAATCTGTAGCTGTCATTGATAAAGGAGACAACAGTAGCTGTAAAACAGAACCCAGAAATGTTTTAATGGTGTTTTATCCTTGGTCTAAGTAGAAGATCCCTTGGCAAATCTTAGGGAAGTTGTCATTGGTAGACTAAAGACTGCAAAGTAAAATATGGTTTTATTTTTCATTGTCAACTATTAGATCTATGCACCTTTGGCAAAGTACACTTTATTTCCATTTATTTTCCTGTAAAACAGATACAACAAAAGGATATATGATACAGATACTTGTCATACAAGTTTATCGACTTGTTTGGGAGTTCTGGAGGATAGAGTGGGCAAATGTTTGCAAAAAAATTGAAATATATATGGTTAAGGTAAGGTGTGGTCTGCAGGTCAGTTAACAGCTTTAATTATATGTCTTTGAAGCCTACATTTTAACTCTTTGAAAGGAGCCTGTGCCACAACATTTTGAGGAAGGAAATTGGTAACCATTCTTAAAACCATAGATGAGTCAAAGGTAAACACACTGTAGCATGATTTACCGCAAGCTAAGCTGGAGATATCCACAGGATTACTTTCATAGCAATCCTACAGCCAATACAGGAAGCAAGTACAAAGCCAGAACTGCTAGGAAAACATCCTTTCATGTAGCACTTGGGTCTGTGGACTTGTTTGGTGTTTGGCTATGACTCCTGGCTTTCTAGCTGGAAGATGTGGAGAAGTAAGCGAAGGAGTGGAATGCAGGAATGGATGGGTGCAATCTCATACTTCTATATTTTTCTTTTTATCTTCATTATCAAAAACTTTAACATCGTTAAGAGAAAAAAAGGGTCTGTCTTTAAGCAAATGTAAAAATAAATATAAGGTTAAAAATGACTGATTAATTCTGATACTTCAGCTTAAACTTCACAACAGCAGTGATTCATTCATGTGAATGCTCTTAACTTAATTCTGAAAATTTATTCTCAGGGATTACAAGCAGTAATCAGTTATGGCATTGATTGCACAACCTCCTTTTTTCGCTTGCATGCCCTAATCATAAATCAGCAGGTCTTCAAAAGGCCTCTTCAACATCTTGCTTCCTTCAGACAAAAATCTTTCCCAGCTGCATCAGCCTGTTTTGATTACCCATGTAGTAAGAGTGTAGCATGCCCAAGTGGTGTGACGTGACAAATATCAATTAGGGTGGATAGCATCCAGAAGAAGAAAACTTGCCCAGGGCTGCCCAGTGTAGGGTAGCTCCAAAACCACTGGGGCATGACCCATTTTTTAAATGAAACAGCTCAGAGTAGACCTGGAGATGACTGGCACTTCTTCCTTGTAGCATGTCTCAATTAGCAAACAAGATACTTGACACCTTCTATACTACTGTTAGCTTCCCACATGGTTTTCCTCTGCATTTTGGAGCTATAGCCAGCATGACCTTCAGAGAGAGTATTTCTCAAAGGTTGACAAAATGCAGTTGAATAAAGACAGTCTTTGTTTCAGTAGCTTTCATATCTCCTAGAATCAGCTAGGCATCTCATTACTTTCCACAGTTTTTCATTTTAGCCACAGATGCCAAGGACTCATCGTCATTATAACTTGCTAAATTAGCTAGTGTCACTAAGTCATCAGCATCACAGCAGGTCCTCATTCAGATCTGCCTCTCCTGAGAAGCTGTTCAGCTGTACACTTTGTATAGGAGGCTGTAGAAACAAATAATGAGTGAACAGTCTCTGTTCACACTGGCTTTTCTGCTGGCCTCACATATGTTGAACAAGAACACCATCTGCTTATCCAAGGAGAAGATGACCAGACATGTTGAACTGTGGTTTTAAGCACTTTATTATGAGTCCCAACTTATATCAGCTATGCTTTCACCCATATTTTCAAAGCCTCAAAAACTGACAGCCTTTTTGTATCAAAGTGATTGATACTCAATAATGCTGATGTTGAATATGATGTAGTAATAGATAGAATGATACCATTCTTCCTAACCATGTGTGGTTTATTTTTGATGTTTCAGGGTTTATTGTCCTCACAACTGTATGCAGGCAAATCCACATTACGCTCGTGTAATTGGGACACGAATTTATTCTGATGTAAGTATGGTGATTTACATTGCATTATATAATGAAATATAAAGTCATGTGAATTTAAAAAGCTGTAATGTACAAAGACAATAAGATATAATATAGATAACCAGTTTTACTCCATATGCTGATCTTTTTACACAGTCTTTTCAGAAGTTGTTCTTCAGAGGCTCCCATTAAGTTAGTAGAACTCAGCTGCTGAAGATACAGAAAGTTAGTTGAAAAATCAGTGTAGACTTCAGTGTAGCTTGGATTTTTATCAAAATTCCCACTGATTTGTTCAGTATTGGCAGTGTATACTCATGTAAACCATTGCTTTTTAGACCCTGATGCAACTGTAACTTCTATCAGATTGAACTAACCAAAAAAAAAAAATCTTAAATGTCCACAGTCTCATTATTTTGGATATTTCTTATCTATGTAGATATCTAATTATTTGCAGCAGGATTTTGATATATTTGTATAGAGTATCTCACATCTTATTTTAACATAGTAATAGAATTTTTTTTTTTGTCATTCTATTCCTTAGTCAACCTTTCTGTCTTTTCCACATCATGTTTAGTTCTGAAGTGGGTAGAAAAAATGAAAAGAAAGTTTGGTTTTATGCCCCTCCTTTGTCATCTCTCTATGGAGAACCCAGGATGTAGTGGCAGAGAGAATAGTTCACGTCTTCACCAGTAAACTTTGATTTAACCATCTTTTAGCTGTCATAAGGAAGAATATTCCAACTGGATGATGATTTCCACTACTTTCCAGCACTTTGAAATGTGTGAAAATGATACGCAAACATTTATTCATCATTATTTTGAAACTAGAATCCTAGAATGGTTTGGGTTGGAAGGGACCTTAAAGACCATCTAGTTCCAACCCCCCTGCCATGGGCAGGGGCACCTTCCAGTAGGTCAGGCTGCTCGAATCCTCATCCAGCCTGGCCTTGAAGACACCCAGGCATGGGGCATCCACAACATCTCTGGGCAACCTGTTCCAGTGCTTCACCACCCTCTCCGTGAAGAACTTCTTCCTGATACCTAATCTAAACCTTCCCACTTTCAATTTAAACCCGTTACCCCCTGTCCTGTCACTACAGGCCCTTGTAAAAAGCCCCCCCCCCAGCTTCCTTGTAGCCCCTTCAGGTACTGGAAGGTGCAATAAGGTCTCCCTGGAGCCTTCTCTTCTCCAGGCTGAACAAGCCCGACACTCTCAGCCTTTCTTCAAAAGAGAGGTGCTCCAGTCCTGTGAACTCCCTTATGTCTATTTGATTACCTGAGTAACTTGTCCTGAAAACACTCCTGTCTATAAGTACTGTTGCATGTGTGAGAAATACTTCCATTTCAGGAAGTAAAATTATTTGTGCTTGTGAAACTGTCCTTAATGTGTTTTTTTTTAAATAGATTCAATGAAAATCTATTTTGTGGAAGATTATTTTCTTTCAGTTCTGTGGTTGCAATCAAAGACTACATCCAAAGTTTCCCAATGAGTTATAAAAGACTTCGTAGTATAAGATGGAAAACGTATTTCTGTTTAACTTACACAGGAGAACAATACAGAACATGTATTTACTTTGGTTGGAGAAGTCCCACATGACTTTAAGTAGTATTATAGAGTTATGCTTTAAAATAATTTTAGATATACTATCTCATTCATCTCCATTGTATAGAAATGTGTGCAGCCATACTGCTTTTAGGAAAAAATGGACATAAATCCAGGTAAGAAACCAGGATGGGAGTCTTCATGTCAAGTTCAGATGCTGTCAGGGTAGATGTCTACACTGAAGGTGCTATTCTAGGATATGTTTACAATAGTTTGTAGTACACACAGTATAGTAGTAAAGGAGATAAATAGGTATCTGCAGAGAAGAATTTATTTGACCTTTCCAGAGTGTCTACCTCAGCATAAGATGAATTGCCTAATGGGTATGTCTATTCCTCTCCATTTCCTACAGAAGGTTCCTAGGGCATCTAGCTGAGATGCAGACTGTGTCCTACATATATTTCTACAGATGTTCCCATTAATGGTATCAGCATTGTGTGATTTTTCTACAATGCTCCTTTGTTACTAACATTTAAATTATTTTAAAACTAAGACACTTTTAAATTTAAATTTTCACTAAATAATATGATTGGATATTTTGTACATTATAATACATTACTGAACTACTTTCAGGTCAAGTATTTATATAGAATAATAAATTTAACAAGTGTGTCCTCTTTTGCCTTTTTTCATGTGTTCAAAGACATATTTGTTCACAGATATAGAGAACTCATTTGCCCACTTGTCACAGCAAATGTATTTGATATTGCAGTCCATGATCTACTTGGTAAATTCCACAAAACAGAAGGCTTTTTGTGATGTTCCTGCAAATTCTTCTGTTCAAAATTACATGTGTATGTATGTGGATGTATGCATATATGCTGATAACTATTTGCATTACTGCTAAGGCCACTTGCATTCAGTAAATGAAGAAGATTTTTCAGAGATAATAAGAAAAAAAAAAACCTTTAATAAATATCACTAATACTAAAAGATATGTTTACAAACCATTTTTGTAGTTTTCATGAGAATCTGGTTAAACATTTCCTTTTCTGGCTTTGATCTGATCAGACATTCATTCTTAAACTAATTTAATATTTTACAGTGACTTCTTTCCCTTCCTGTTCCTGAGAAGAATTTTCTCTAGTTTGAGAAGTGCCCTTCAGAATTTTTACTTGTTTTCTTTTTTCCTCCCATTCTTTTTTTCCTTTGACATTGTAATGACTGTCCCTAACTCAGCTTAAACAAAACCCTCCATTATTTCATCTTCCATTCTTCCAATCAGCTAGCTATTGTCTCTTTGTCTGTGGCAGATAAATCACAGCCATGGTCCATACAGCCAGCATCTATAAACTTATGTTTGTGCTCTGTGCCTTGTATTGTTTAGCTGATCTCCTTTGGTTTCACTGGTCTTAAGGTAGATCTCAAGCTCTGTAAAACAAAACTATCTCTTATTCTGAGTTTATGGTACAATTAGTTTCTTTTCTGAATAGAGCTCCTGTGGTATGAGTAAGAACTGTAGTATATGTCATTCTCAGCAGACAAAAGTGCAAATTACTCATTCTTCACATGGCCCAACCACATCGTCACCTTTGTGCTTTTTGTCCCTTCTGGCCTCACTGATTTGAGTTTCCACATGGGAATTTGGTGTCTTTTTTGGAGACCAGGATAAAAAGAATTTCTTACTATCTTGTGCTGAAGAGTGGGTTCCACCTTTCAAGTTCACTTTTGCATTTTCACTTTTATTTTGTATAAAACTTTTTTTTGAGCCTTATTTCTGGCATTGCAGAATTGTCATGTTGACTTTTCAATATGATTTCATTTGTCAAATAAAATATAAACCTTCCCAAGAACCAAATCATGTCAGGCCCAATATGATTGTCTGAACTCTGTTGGAGATGATTGTGTAGCACCTACCTTTACAGAAACTGTGCTTAGTTGTTGCTGGAAGTCCCTGTGTTATCAAGGTACCAAAATAACAAAAATTTTTATAGAAAGAAGGAGAGTCTACAATAGCTCACTTTTAGTTTGGTTTTTTTTTAAATTTTATTTTAATGGACACACCTTAGATATGTCTATAGTAGAAGTTCTTAACCACATTCCAATTGCCTTATATGAATTTCTAAAGAGAAATTTTACATTTATTCTGTTTTTTTCACAGTAAGCAACATTTTCCCAAAGACTATCTCTTACCAGTAGTGACTTGTCTTTGTTGGTTTGGATTGAGCAAGGTGACCAAAAAAAAAGTTTATCCTTTTGGGGACTAGAGATCTAGAGATCAACAAAGATCTTTAGATGAAAGAATTTGGTGGAGTTATATAATTTCACATAGTTTACGGACTTTGGCCGTATTAATTTTTGTTTCAGTAACTATATATGGAAATATTTTCCTAATACTGTGGTAAAACATAAACAATGTGATGTTAAAAAAAGCTATTAAATAGTTCTATAGTCCTGTGATCAAGAGATGCTTGTGGTTAAAATGCCTTTGCGGAGTACTGCTATGCTGTGGTAGATATTTGGTATTTTGCTGAGTAGCTGAAGAAGGAAACTAATTAAGCAGCTTGGTTTTCAGATTATGACCTGTTAAATACTAACAAATTTCAGAGGGTTCACAGCACAGCAATAAAGCAGGGTCATATAATGCTGTATGAAATGTTTATGTTAACTTAAAATACTGCCTTATATATCCTTTGGAGTGAGTTCATTCAAAACTAAAGAGATAACCCCATATCTCTGCTGAAGAGTTCCAGAAAGTGACATAAGGCTGCTAATATAAAATGTCAATAATTTGCTGAAATTTGTGATAGACATAAGTGTGAAATCCTGTTCTGCATAAATTAACAGGATGTTCACCTTAACAGTTCAAGGAAATATGATTAGGATGCCATAATATTACTAAGTATAGGAAATATTATGGCATCAGTACTGGAATCTGATTCCATTTAGATGAAGATTGCCAAGCCAATGAGAAGTCCTTGAAAGCTCAAAGCAGACAATACTTTCTCAAAAAATAAGTTCTGTATGTACTGATTAATCAATGCATATAGTTTTCTCTCTCTTACAGGCTAGTTCATAATTATGAATATACACTCATTTAATTGCTCATATATTTAAAAAGTATACACATTTTTTCTTCAATCCCATCTGCAAAGCAGCATCAGAATTTTTCAGCTGAAAATAGCATCTGCATTGGCCTCACAATCCCGTTCGTCTGATCTCTCCTTTTTCACATATCTCACATAGGTGTCTCACCTTTAGCTTTACAATGTTGTGCATTAGCCTAGCTGTACTTCATTGATCCAGTAACTAATTGTGGTACCAACCTTTTACCTCCATCCATTACTGGGAATAGTTTCTAACATGTAGTCAACCTCTTCCGTTCTTTTTTTGACTATAAACTTCCAAATAACATTGGAACAGCCAGTATTTTAGCTAACGTCAAATGTAATTATGAAGATGTCAACCTATCTAATGAGGTACACAAAGTGTAGCCTTTTGGTGACTATTGCAGAGGTGACAAACTGAGATTTCTTTTTCCCAGTTGTACATCCAGGTTTTTTAATATCTCCAATAAGAACTGAAAACAAAGTTGCTACTGTATTATAGTACTAGTTATTAGTAGAGGAGTTCTAGTTCTTCACTGTAATTAACTGTTTGTAAACCTTATCTTTCATTTCATTAGACTGTAATCCTGTATTGCAGAGGCCCTTTTTCCCCCTGTATATTTGAAATTTCACTGATCAGTCTGATCTTTCATTTCTCCCATAGTATGAGTACCTAAAAGATGCTATAATCCAAAAAATAAGGCAACTGCTGGTCTTCAAGTTATAACAAAAATCTTGCAGCCTTGGGAGAAGGAGAAAAAGTACAGAGGAGCATAAATATCCCTTCTGGCATGTTCAAAAACTGAAGCCACCAGTGTGAAGAGAAACTCTAAATCGTTTTTCCAAAAGATTCTTTGCATAAAAGATTTCAAATGTTTACAGGTAGAAATATTGTAAAATGAAAAACAAACTATACAGCAGTGAAACTGGCAAATTCTGTGCTTGGAAAATCATTGCTATTTTAAATTCCTGATTTTATATAGCATTGAGATTGCAAAATAGCTATGGTAACAGATATAAATTACTCCACTGGAAGAAATGTAATTCTTGTTTAAATAGTGGTCTGCGTGACCAGCTATTGATATTTGTATTGGCTAAGTTTTTAAGATTGGTTGTGGAGAGACATACTGCAGTGAAAACATATTCCACAAAACAGTTTTAGCTGGAACTACACTTTGCTGTGCTGTATATTGAAGATTGGGACCCACATTCTGGAGTATCCAAGAAGTTTCATTGTTATTAATTTTCAAAATGCTGAAAGAGTGCTAGAGGACTGCAAGTTTAAATCAATTATTTAAATGAACATTATCAAGATTGTCACTGAGCAATCCTTCTGTGGATATTATTTATGCTATATAGGTTCATGACCAAAATTATTAGCCAGAGAATGTAGGTTTCACCCAGGTGATCTGCTGCTAACTTCGTAGAGAATTTTCATAGAAGCTTAGACTACCAGGTTGGAAGAGGGATCATCAAGAATCATCTGGTCCAGCCTTTCTTAGCAAAAGCATGGTCTAGACAAGACGGCCCAGCATCATGTCAAGGTGAATCTTTAAGTGTCCAATGTTGGGGAATGCATCGCTTCCCTGGGGAGATCATTCCAGTGGCTCATTGTTCTCATTGTGAAAAAAATTTCCTCTTGTGTCCAATTGGAATCTCCCCTGGAGTAACTGGTACCCATTATTCCTCATCCTTTCCTTGTGACCCCATGTAAAAAGGGAGTCTCCATCATCTTTGTAGCCGCCCTTTAAATACTGGAACATGCTGATAAGGTCTCCTCAAAACCTTCTTTTCTCAAGGCTGAACAAACCCAATTCTCTTGGCCTTTCTTCATATGGTAGGCTTCCTTTGTTCATCTCTGTGGCCCTTCTCTAAACCCTCTCCTCTGCATCTTTTTTGTGTAGTGGGGACCAAAACCGAACACAGTGTTCCAGGTGTGGCCTAACAAGCACTGGCATAATCACTTTGTTTATGATGCCCTTGTTGATGCGATCCAGCATCCTGTTGGCTTTCTTTGCCACAGGAACACACTGTTCACTCATACTGATCTTGTTTTCCAGCAGGACTGCCAGGTCCCTTTCCACAGAGCTGCTCCCCAGCTTGGTAGATCCCAGCCTGTGCTTCACTACACTTGTCCCTGTTGGACTTCATAAAGTTCTTGTTAGCCTATCTTCCAGCCTATCCAGGTCTTCCTGCAGGGTGGCTCTCCCTTTCAAAGTGTTTTATTCCCCTCTCAGTTTGCTTATCATCAGCAAACTTCGTCAGGGTAGACTTGATACCATCATCCAGATCAATTATGAAGATATTAAACAGCATTGGGCCCAGTGTTGATCCCTGAGGAACCCCACTTGTGACAGGATGCCAGTTTGAAAAGGACCTATTTACCACCAGCCTGTGGGTGCGGCCTGTCAGTGAGTCCCCCAGCCACCGCACAGACCACTTGACTAGCCCATAAGGCATCAATCTCTCTAGCAGGAGGCTGTGGGAAACTCTACTGAAAGCCTTGGAGAGATCCAGGTAGACAGTGTCCACAGCTCGCCCCACATCAACTCAGCAGGTTACATTGTTGTAGAAGGCAATCAGGTTTGCCAAGCACAATTTGCCCTTGGTGAATCTGTGCTGCCTTTTCCGATCGTATGCTTCATTTGACTTGTGATAGCCCGCAGAGGGAGGTTCTGTTCCATAGCTTTCCCAGGGACTGAAGTAAGATTGATGGGACCAACTTCCTGGATTCTTCTTCAAAGCTTTCTTGTAGATGGGGGCGACATTAGTCTTCTTCCAGTCTTCTGGGATGTTCCCAAGTCTCCACATCTTATCAAAGATTATGGAGAGCAGCCTTGCAACGACGTCAACCAGCTCTCTTAACACCCTCGGGTGGATTGTCAGGGCCCATCGATCTGTAGGGGTCAAACCCTTTTCTGGGTCTGTGTTTGCATCAGCCTGGATTTTTTTCTCAAGGCCTGGGGCCCAACAGTGCTGCATAATTTTGCTTGCATAAAGTCTATGGAATTAGACTGATTTTAAAAAGTCTTCTTTTGAAGCAATTTTACTATTTCTTCACTCTGAGTTGAGGAACTAAAGTTGTTAGTCTGCCGTTAATTAACTGCCACAGGTAAGGGATGATTTTAGACCTTTATCTTCCATTTGATGTTCACATTATACCTTTAAACTAATTAGCTTTTAGTTCATGCCTGGCCAGGAAATTGTGATGTTCCCTTAGAATATGGATGATTTCACTGCTTTTTGAGGTTTTGCACCTAGAGATGGAATTATTGCAGTATATCCATCAACTTTGGGGTAGGGCATCCTCCTAGAAACATGTGACTGCCGTGTGCCTTTGCTGTGGTTCCCGTTTGGCTTTGGCTGGCAGTGAAACTGAATCTCGTGATCTATAATTGACTGAGGGATGGGATTTACTACCTCTCTGCTGCTGAAGTGAACGCTGATAGAGCCTTTCATTTTGAAAGGCTCAAGAATTCAACCATGTTCCTGATCTTTGAACTGAAATACCATGAAATAAATTATTTTGGGGTCATACTGCAAGGCATATTTGAAGAGGCAGTGTCTGTATTTCTGTAAATCGGCCTAATTCCTATAAAGCAGATTTAAATGCTGTAAATATTTTAAAAATTGTTCATGCAATAAATTAATGATTTTATGTTTCCTAGATTTAGTATTTATTAGTTTTCTTCTAAACAATTTTGAAATAGAAGGATGAATACAAACTAATCTTCTCTTTCTTTCTTAGATATCCAGTATCTGCCGGGCAGCAGTACATGCTGGTGTGGTCCGCAACCAGGGTGGTTATGTTGATGTTATGCCAGTAGACAAAAGAAAGGTGTACGTTGCTTCCTTTCAAAATGGGATATATTCAGAAAGGTACAGAGCCCAGTTTCAAAGATTACACTTTACACTTCATCTCGATAAGATTTACAACATCTTACATTGTGTCTGTTTGTACCTGGGGCAATGCTAGAAACCAAACAAGTAGGCCAACATGGGTGATTTACAGAGCTTGTGTAACAGCTGGGGTGACTTTGGAGAAGCTGTGGTACCAGAGCTGCCTGCCTCCTCTAAGCTCATAACTCATTACTCTAAAAAGCTGCTTAGGAAATAAAGTAACCCTCTTGTTTACTTTTTTGGTTCTGTTGCAACTAACACAATATTCGATAAGAAAAGTGCCTTTGCTTTCTTTTTTTCTTTTTTCATTAACATAATTAATTTGTTCTGTCTAAGTTAGAGGATCTACGATAGATGAGTACTAGTAGCTGATGCAGGTTCATTACTTCATGATGAAATGTTCATTACATGGAATTTAACCAGTGAGCCTGGATTATAAATAATATTCATGACCTCTAAAATTCACAATCATTAAAACTTTTTTTAATGATTTGCCTGTTTTTAAGTGTTTTTCTGAAAGATATGGAGATGCTGTGAAATTTCATTTAGTTGTATTCAGTGTGTTCATACATTCTATGATGATAACGCGTGGCTGTGTGTTGCAGATTAATTTCTGAAAGAGTTCTCCAGGTTCTAAAGAAAGAAAGAGAAATTAGCCTAAAAAATAATTTTTTGCCAGTCCTATAAAGCTAAGAATGATTGTTACCTCTAAAACTGTAGGCTTTCCAAGAAATTTGTGGGGGAAAAACACGAAGTTTTTTAGAAAAACTTGGAAGTAGGAAAAGCTAGAGTATTTTTTATTGCTTTTAATTGGGGGTGGGGCAATGTCTTGCCTCTTGCCCACAAACCTGGAAATTCATAAAATACAAATTTCTTTTGCTTAGTGGGTGTCTTAATTTATATATTCTTATCTTTTCCCCATGACCATCCAATTCCCTCAGAAAGAGTGCTTTCTTACTGACACTTTTGTTCTCCATATAAATCTCCTCACCGATTAGAGATGTAGCAAGGAAAAGTGTTGTAAATTTAATCATTATTTGCACTTTACCGTCTTGGTAAAGTTTGGAAGGTCAGTGGTTCCCAGATAGACCTTAGACAAGGTTTGAAAAAGAGAAAACAATATCATTAAATATGATATGCTATTTCAGGCTACAAGACACAAATATATATTCTAACAAAATTTCATTGCAGTTGGGTATTTTTGTTTCATGTCTTTTGAAGTCAGATATTTATCCATTAAGAAGGAATTTCCTTTGGTTTTATAAAATTTAATTCTCTTAGAAATCTATTCTTCAGCCTATAAGCAACTAACAAACAAGTGACCTCATAGGTCTACAAGTTCTCTCCGAATGTAGCTATTAGAATACTGAGCATAAGATGCATGTTTTCTCTTTTTCCTAAAACCTTTTTTAGTGTTTTGCTTCAGTGGAATTCTGTTCTTTAAACCAGAATCCCTCCTCACAAAGGATTAATTGAATTTTTTTGTGTTATGATTTGTTCCTAATAAGCTGCTTGAAAGAATAATTAATCTGAAATTCATGTAATTTTTATTTGTAACAGTTTTTTTCAAATTATTAGATAGCTACGATTACAACTTAGTCACAGGATGATAAAATTGTATTTAAAAGTTCAAAAAAGTTGTCATTGGAATGTTGCAGTCTTAAAAATAACATCAAGAATGTTTTTATCTTTCAGTTTACAGAATCCTCCAGGAAGCAAGGCATTCAGAGTATTTGCTGTTGTTTGAGTCGAGCAAGTAAAATGTAAAACAGGCAAGTGAAACCAGAGCACTTGGAAGAGAATATTAAAGCCAATTTCTTATAATTCCTAAAATTTGTATAAAGCTGTAACTTTATTGTACAGAAGATGTATACTGCTTTCCACCAAAAAGTTTAAGTTACATATATATCTTAATGAAAAAATCTGTAAAGGTAAACATGGGAGAAAAATTCATTTGAAAATCTATAATGATATATAACAATATTTTGAATCCTGTGTTAAATATTGCTATATTTTCTTAGCAGTTACTCCTATACAGTTAATTCAAAGCTCACGAATGTTCTTTGTTTTCTTCATCTGAACATATTATTGTATGGTGCTTTATATATGCCACTAACAGTAATCTTAAAACTATACCATAGGGAGGCCTGAATTTTTATTTCCAGTGTACATTAAAGAAGCCATCCTAATAATTCAATATAATAAACCATGCCTTAAAGTAAAATAAATATATATATAACTTTGATGATTTACAGTAGCATTAGCCATGCAAACATTAATGAAGAGCTAGACTGTTTTCAATTTCACACTAATCATAACAAGTGCAAATACCTGTTTTGAAATAAAATGGAAAATATAAAACGTAGGGAAATCCTGGGTCATATTAGCATGTTTTCCTCTAAAGAAATATTTTTAAGAGACTGGGCCATTCATGTTTATTATTTTTAAATATGTTAATAAAATGTTTATTGGTTGCTGCTAAGCTCTTTTGTTTGAATAACCAATTCATTGGCCCAGTCCTTCACAGACATTCAGCTATCTTGGGATGGGTGAGTGAGAGAGAGACATATAACCTTGAAGGACCTGAGAAAATTGTTATATTGAGAAGTGGAGTAACATGATTTATGGAATAAGCCGTCAGTTCTGCAATACAGTTCTGTACATATACATGCTTTAATTTTTCCATGTGGCTCCTTCAATTTATCTAAATTGGGTTTCAGCAAAAATGTAGAATTGTACACACACATAAAAATTTGCAAGCTTGAGGCCTTAAGCTGTACATGTTATCCGTATACTATACATTAATATGAGGGTAAATGTTCAAACAAACCTTAAAGAAAATGGTAACAAAGGCTAACTTGCTCCTCATGACCTGCAAATACTCCTGCAGGCCAGGAAGTATAGTGGTACGGAGCCCAGTGACAAGTATGTCATTTGTTGCTTCACCATTTTTAAAAATTCATTTATGGTGAACAGCCTTGTGCATTAATTTTACCGTATTATGGTATATGAAGAACATGTAGTGGTGATACTATGTTTCTTTCTATGAAAAGTGTATTGGTGCTTTAAGACTGAAAAGCTGTTAAACTTTATTTTTGGTATATTTTGTTTCTGTTGTTGAATTTATTTCATTCCAACCTGTAAACTTATTCATATTCTTCATATTTCAGAATACTATATTCTGCCTTCTGTTTTGCTACATGTACTACCTCATGTAGTTAGGCAAGCTTTGTTAGTTTTTTTTAATCTGTTTTGAATAAAATGAATTTACATAGTAAAAGTACCTTTGACAGCCTTTTTTTTTTTTTTTTTTAAATTGTTTGTCCTGCCTCAAGATGTTAAAAATACCATTTACCCAAAACTTACTGGGTTTTTTTCTGGCCTAACCGGTGCAAGTGTAGTATCAAGCAGATATAGTAGATACAGTCCCAGGTCCCATAAATCCCAGTCCCAAAAGCTCTAAAGGCAACTGAGGTACACAACTTCCATTAACTGGATTCGGAGTTTCATGGATAAATCATCTGGTCTTTTTTCCAAGTTTTGACCAGGATCTGTGGGAACAGGAAGTGATTATAAAAGAGCCACCACCTTTTATTTAGTCAAACTCTTTGCTGTTGTGGTAAGTGTTTCTACTGCGAATGCTCCTAGCTACATTTCTTGGGAACAAGCAGGTTTTTATATTACACGTCCTTTTTTTGCCTTGTAAGACTAATGGTCAACTTGGGAGTTCCATTTGGGAAATCTATTTAATTGATGAGGGAGACAAAAAGTCTTTGCTGTATAACCCCCTGTTTTTTTGCAGGGGGCCATTGAAAGAAGCTTTAGACAGATTTTGCAATACTGGCATTAGCTATTTTTCACAGCTGAAACCGAAGTGCAAGTAGACTTTGACTGTGATGGGACTCCAAGTCACTCAAAGGCTTGAGATAGGCTTGCACTGCCCTTTCTTAAAAGCACCAAAGTTAGTAACACAGAAGGGCCTTGCAATAGCTACAGTTGGGGTTATCAGAACATAAAATAGAGTAAGGACACACAGAACTGCTGAGGGAGACGTTGGAAACAAAACGGTGTGAGTACAACCGTTGTGTCCCTTTCCACACAGGTGGGATGCTTTCCTGCAGCCCAGCCTTGCCATCCCTCAGCTCTGCCTGCCCATGGTCCCCAGCAGTTGCCTCGGGAGCTCAGGGGAAGCCTTTTGAGTGCTGCAGAGCCTGGGCAGTAAGTGAGGAGCTCCCTGCGCTGCTGATCAGGCAGCAGTGTGCACCCCTTCCTTTAGGCAGTGAGGGAGAGCAGCCTGGGATGAGGGAGAGAACAAGACAGACACACCTGTAGTCATAACCACAATTTCCTCACTTGGGGTGGATGGGTGATTGGAGTCCTCTGGGGAAACACAGTTGCCACACCGGATTTCTGCCTTTTTCCTCCATTTGTTCCTGATGTCTTTGTTCTTCTGCCTATCTTTGCTTCCTCTCCTCTCTCATGCGTAAAGTCCAAGCTACATTGGCTGGGAGTTCCTGTGCAAGGGGGCAGGGGTGGACCCTTGGTGCCATAACAACATAGTTAATGCTTGGTGGGAGGACAGGGAGGGTCTATGTCCACTTTGTGTGTGAATTTTTGCTGTGAGCAGCTTTACTAACAAATACAGTCACAAGAAGGAGGTAACTCTTTCTTCTCACATCTGTGCCACAAAATTTGTTGCTTTTCCACATGCAATAGTTATATCCTGTTATAAATATTCCAGCCAACATTGACTTTTTGAGAAATTCTGTGTTTAAGTAAAGAGTCAATGAGTAGACATTTCCAAGCAGTTTTAGAGTGGAGCTGCACATGAATATTTTTGTCTGCACCAGAAGCAACCTTATGCCAGCTGGTCAGAACTAATTCACAGAAAGCCCAAATGGGTAACTAGCAGTATCAGAAAACTGGTTGTGGGCAAATGAAAACATACAGAAGAAAGTCAGCTTTTTAAATGCTAAAGAACTGTTTGGTTAACTGAGCAGTTTCAAAGTTATGTTCTCAACCTGAAATAAGGAAGAGGGATAATCAGTAGCAAAGTAAAGATTAACTCACGCTATTCATAATATTTAGCTTACTTCCCAGGAAAGACCTATGAGTAGTCAACAAGAATTATTGCAACTGATACATAACAATCCTCTGGAAAAAAAAAAAACACACCCAAAAAAACCAACACTGTTTCAGTACGTTGCTATCTGCCATTTATAAATTTGAAAGGGCTAAAATAAATGTAACCATACTAAAACAGTAGGCCCTTAAAAGCGTATGTGAAATAAGATAGAATACATATGAACCTTTTCCCATGATTCTGTGGTATTTCCCATTAGGACTTCCTCCATGAGGAATCTTTTCAAAAGAAATCATTTGGAGAGGAGTCAAGTATTTGTCAAGCATCATTCACTTGCCTGCTCACTTTTCAGTAAGGATCAATTTAGGCATTTCTCTGCTGTGCTCCATCCCTTCGAGCTGGAGTAGCTAATTTAGTAACTAAACAAGAGTTAGTATGAAAAAAGTGGTCAGATCCAAATAGATCATTCTTTAACCGTCTCTCACCGTTTTCATAGCTATATGAGGATGCTTTAGTTCTAGGGAACTTGGGACTCATATTAATGCAAGCAGGCAGCTCATAGTAGTAGGTGGACATAAACTAAGGAAACTAAGAAACATTTCCTCAACTTTGTGGATACTGAGGAATTTTAGAAAGTTTACAGACTTCCTTGTGTCTCATTTCTGCATAGGGGAAAGTCTGATCTAGAAATTATACACAAAGTATTTTTGGAATCAAGCCTGAAACACAGGTTGGGATAATGTCTGTAAGTTTAGAGGTTTTTAACTGATGAAGTGCTCAGTTTTAAGTTTTATGTAAATGTCAAGACTGTAGCTGTCTGTAGATTCTCAGTGGATTTAAAAGAAGAAAAGTAACATCAGCTTTTTTGTGTGTATTGATACATATGCTCAGGAAAATGCATGGCACTTTACTTCATATGGGAGAGATGTAACCACGTTACTCACATAAACAGTGTCTTCTGTGTGGCAATTGCTTTTGAAGTTTGTTTTGAATTTGGCTTAAAACTCAGATAACCCAGCTTCCTCTGAATACACAAGGGAAGGTTTATTTCCTGCAATTTCTGTAGTCATACAAAGGTCAGATTTAGAAATGTAAATATTTGGAAATTACAAAGATTATTCATACAGTGCAACATTCTGTTTGGAAATTTATATAAATACTGTATGAAATACTGTACTGTCACACTTCTATGTCTTAAGGCTTTTTATAGGATCTGTGGAACTCTAGGGAATTATACAAGGAATGAAATCCTGAAGAGTTTTGTTTCATTCAGTGTATAATATGCATCTAACAGAGCTTTAGATATACTAATGATACCATACATTAGTATTCAGAAAATGATTTTATGAAGACATGCACTATGCATATAGGAAAGAAGCCATGCTGTCAGTCCTAGCATTAGCCTGTCTTTGCTGTCAGGAATAAATGATGGAAATAGTATTTTATATATAGTTACTGTTGATGTTATTGATATCATTGCTATTAAATTAGAAATCCTTGTCATGTGCTAGGAGGCTGTGAAAATACAATAAAATGTGATTTCTGCTCCATGTTAACATAGGATGATAATGTGACAGCTGAAATTTGCCATCAGCTGCTCAATGATCTGTGTTAAATGTCTTGTTCGCCTTAGCCTGTTTGCTAGGAGTCAGATGCCTACATCATTAAACCATCATAGCACTCTACAAAAAGTACTAATAACGAGTCTTAAATGTTCAGAAGCTAGCAAAAGGCCCCCAGTCAGACCAGCTCAATGTAATAAGGCACAGCAAAGTACAAGAGACCAAAGGAGGAAAATAATGAACATGCAACCAAAACAGCCAGTCATGGTGCTCCATGTCTTACTATCCACACTGATTTCCGCAATAATTACCCTAAGTATTCAATTCAGTATCTGTCCCCAGTGCTGTATCCAATATTGTTTCGTCTTTACTAGCAACGGGGTGAGTGTCTGAAGGCTAGCAGTGAAGTTGGTTAAGAACTGAGATACACTGGCCAAACAACATGAAGAAGTTTGCAATGCTTTATCTTTTAATAGGCACACAAAAGACTTCAGTTGCCAATGGCAATAAGTCTTGGGCTTTTAAATTCACTAATTTAGTTTAAAGCATAAGCATTATATCAAAATAAAAATGTCACCACATCCTAACTTTTTAGTAAGAAATTCAGTTGTTCAAAGAACTCCCATTTATTTCAGCTGAACAAATTTCTCTAGCTAACAGCAGCAATATTAGCAATAATGTCTTTGAAACTGTATTTAATATAAACACTGCTTTGTAGTTTAACAAACTTTATTTGATGTGTTTGCAGTTATTTCTGAATGAATACTGTTTATTAATATATCCT